GTACCATTTTACATTCCCTTCAACATATTTGGTGAGGGTTGCATTTTTTCCACATCCTTGTCAACACTTGCTTTTCTCTCTCTTTTTTTTTTTTTGGTAGAGATGGGGTCTCGCTATGTTGCCCAGGCTGATCTCAAACTCCTGGGCTCAAGTGATTCTCCCGCCTTGGCCTCCCAAAGCGCTAGGATTACAGGTGTGAGCCACCACATCCAGCTTCTCTCTCATTATTTTTTCATGACTATTACAGCACTCCTAGTGGGTGTGAAATGATGTTTCATTGTGGTTTTAATTTGCATCTCCCTGATGACTGGTTTTCAGCATTGTTTTCATGTGCTTATTAACCATTAAACTTCTTTGGTGATGTCTGTTGTAATCTTTTGTCCATTTAAAAAACTGAAATGTTTTGTCATCCTATTATTAAGTTGTAAGAGTTTATTATATGTGCTGGACACAGTGCTTTGTCAAATATGTGGCTTCACAGTATTTTCTACACATCTGTAGCTGCTCTTCTTATTTTCATAATAGTGTCATTTCATTTTCCTAATAGTGCCTTTTAAAAGTCAAATGTTTGAATTTTGAAGAACTGCAATTTATCAATCCTTGCTTTTAAGGGTTGTATTCAGCGGTGCTTTTGAAAGTGAGGAAGTTCTGTTGTAATGTGGATAACAGGGATGCTGTAGCTTCTTATTTGGGTTTTGGTATTTGTGTTGTTGCTCCACTTTTGTGTGTAAACATTCAAGAGGCCTTGTTCTGGAAACATTGAGAATGCTGTGTGGAAACAACTCTCAGTGCAGTCCAGGTGGGTTTCAGTGCCAGCCCGTAGACAAGAGCTGCGACGATGCTTCTTCCTGTGGCTCCTTTGACAGCCGTCTCCTACTCAGCTAATGGAAATGTCCCTTGAAAAGAATCAAGGGATTCTTTTCCATTGCTCTGTAGGGTGCTATTTTCCTGATGTTAGTTTTTTTTTTAAAGATGTATAACTCCAAAATATGGAAATACTGGAAAAGTAATACTGGGCCTGCTCATATTCCTCACTAATGAATTTTTCCAGTTGTAAGAGCATCTTTAAGCATACGGAATATTTTATGGGTACAGGCTTAGGGTCCTGAGGTGAGGCCAATAGAGCAGAATGAGTATGTGTATATAACCACTTTTTTTTGTGGTCAAGTGTTGTACCAGCAGTGAGCTTGTCCTCTCTACCATCAAAAGCTGGGAACAGTGTGATGTAGCAGAACCAGACAACTGTCACTAATTTTAGAGGACAAGTAGCATGGATTCTTTTAATTGACTTGTTTTTTAGGGCAAGTAGACACAATTAAAGATCATTCTGTCTAGTAATTAATCAAATATGTATTGAATGTATATTGTGCATGGAAATATCTATATGTGGATGACTTCCAAATTCTTATCTCCAGCCTACACCCCTCCCCTGAACTCAGATCTCTATCTCCACAGCCTATTCAACTTGAATGTTTAATGGGCTTACCAAAGACTGCATGCCTGACTTTTCCCCTCCAGAGTCGCCCTCCCACGGCCTTCTCCATCTCAGTTAATGTTCACTCTGTCTTTCAAGTGCTCAGGAGAAAATTTGCAAAGGTGTCTACCATCTTTGTTTCACATCTCTTACCCAATCTATCATAAATCCTGATTCTAAAGATAATTTGGAATCCTGCATGGGATTCCGGAACAGAAAAGGGGCATTTGAGGTGGGGGGGAACCAACAACAATAAAGTATTGAGTTTATGTAATAATAATGTTCACTATGTTTCATTAATTGTGACAAGTATACCAGACCAAGGTAAGATGTGAAAAACAGAGGGTTTGGGGTGCAGGGCAAGGGAAACTCTCTGAACTGCCTTTGCACCTTTTCTGTAGATGTAAAACTACCCTAAAAGGAAAAGTTTATTACAACAGAATAAGCAAAGGGGCAGATTCTCCTGGCCTCTGGCTCACTCAAGCCTGTGGTTGCTTTGCTGGAGCCAAGGAGATGGAAAGTCTGATTTTGTGTGGTGGTGGTCTGGGTGGAGGATGTGGTTGGATCAGCAGCAGCCCACACACATTTGGCTTCTGGCAAAGCATTTGTCACCTTATCAGTACTTTTACACAATTTAATTATACTAACAAAATTGGTGACCTCAAATCAGCTTAGTCTTTATATAATAATTTTGTCAGATAATTTATCTCTCACAAATTTATAGTTCCACCTCATTACTTTTCCTGAAGAACAAAGCTCTCTAATCTGAAAAATAACAAACGTTTTGTGTTTTTAAAAAGAGTTTGCTATAAGTCATTAGTACTACATAAAATGGAAAAATGTGTATTTTTATTTCACATGGAATGCATTAATCTGAATTAAAAATAAGGATTTTTTTTTTTTAAGAAGCAGAAGAGCCGAGGAGGCTGGTGTTATAATGGGGCATAGAGGGGCTGGCACAGGCTCCAAATAAGAGGTGACAATTGTCTGGGTCCTGAAAAATTGCAGAGCTGTCTAGAGTACGAAGTCCAGTCTCTGGGCAATCAAGTTTTTTACGCCACCTCAGTGAATCTAGGCATACACTTCTGTGAGAGTGGGGCAAGCAGGTTGAAACTCCCCTTTCTTGGTCTGTGCAAAAAACTACAGGGGAAGTCCCAGTGTTGTTTAAGGAGAATTTATGAAAAATTCATTCCTGTTTCCTGGGTGCCTGTGCCTTTTAACCTTTCCCTAGAGCTTTAAATGATTGGAGACATTGCAAACATCTTTAAGAACTGAGAAAATTAAAACAAACTTGCTAACTGCTTTCAGAAGATCTTCCGTATTGCAGTTGGATATGCTCACAGCATAAGATGGGCAAACAGAGGTGGCTGTGGAGTTTCCACGCCTGGAATTTTCCCGGCTGGGGGAAATTTAACGAGCACTTAAATAATCCTGAGTCTGAAAGGGGCAGAGGGGCCAGGCAGATGATGGCCGAGGACAAATCTAGCTTTGTAAATCCGAGAGTGTTGCCACACTGATACGAGGGAAAGGTCAAGGTGATATTTCATCCAGTGCTCCCAGTTCGTCCTCTCCTTACCTGACCTCTGAAATGGAGCCATCAGCCTTGAAAAGCCTGGTGTCTAAAATTAATATTCTTCCCCATCTGACTAAGAAGGCAACAGCTGAGCAACATGAGATCAAGGGCCATATTAATTTAAACAGGGGCTCAAAGTGGCATTTGAGAGAGAAGATACTTCCTCTCGTAGTGAACACTTGTCTTTTCAGAAGATTTATACGACTGAGAGTCAAAACTTTTATCAGAGACTTCCATAGTCAGTTTGAATTCCGTGAAATTTCTCTTTACCTTCTGGAATGTATGCTCTACACTTGGAGTGGCTCAAGCTCTTCGATGTTCTATCAATGGTAATTATTTTTGTTTATAGCTATAACCTCCCTAATCTCCTTCCCTTTTTTCTAAGTTGTCTTCAATAACAAATTGTAACAAAATTTAGGTAGAGCTTAATGTTTAATATTTCTTTGCAAAGTTATTGTGTCTTAAACCTAAGCTTTTGTTTTAATATGTTAATTTTGTGTGGCTTCCTGACCCAACTCGAGTTTCATCTGTAATTAGCCATAGCATTTTAGTCATCGTTTGCTTTAGAAATATTCATGCATTTGTTTCCTTCTTTTAATAATTTTTTTCAGGGCAATTTGAAAGAATGCTAGGAATGGTCTGTAATGTATCTGTAGAGCTCTGGTTGATAGTATTAATATTTGCATTTTAATTTGTTTGATTGTAAGCTTTGAATGTGTGTAAGCTTTGTTTGAATATGGATAAGTGTAACTTTTTAGAACAGTGAATTTTAAATACTTTGGAACTCAAGAGTATCATTTTACTATAGGAGTTGAGAAAACAAAATATTAAGTTTTGTGGTGAGAATTACAATACGGTTTTTAAGGTGAGAAAATGCTCGTAGAGGCGCTTTTCAAAAAAATCTCCACCAGGGGGCCTCAGTAATCAGCCATGCGGAACCAGCACAAATTAAAATCTTTCCTCTCTCCCTCTCTCTGACTCTCTATGCTCTCAAGTGATGTGTACATATAGACATACGTATATGCTCCAGTATCAAGGCATATTATGTGTTTTGCATTACTTCATTTGTGAGGAAAGTATTTTAAGGAAAGTGAAAGGACTCTGAACTCAGTACATAGCTGTTAATGCAGATGCAAAGAAAGGTATCTGGGTATGCTGCCCACGTGAGAGGACTGTAAGGAAACACGTTTCTGTCACAAACACCGCACATGTTAAGACGTAGGTAGAGAAGAGTTCTGGAAAAGGACTTATTTGGGGGAGATCCCCCTGAAGAGGGAGGCCAGGGGAAGCAGGAGAGACCCCTTCTGTGATAAGCCCTTCCTACGGGGCTGCAAAACCTGCGGTTCCAATTAAACCCAAAGATGCTTTGTGCTTTACATTTAAACTGGCCACTTGGTCCACAGCTTATTTTATGCAATGAGGAGCAGTTTCGTCACTCAGTGAAACTCAACATTGCTTCTTACTGTTTGCTTTTGTAGTTTTAAAGTAAAAAAAAAATTTCCTTTAAAGTTCCAATGTTGGAAACTTGATATGAATATTAGCATTTCTTTTCCTAATTTTGGATCCACTCTCCAGTTTAAACAGGAGAGACTTCCAAATTCTCACTGTTCGTTTTCCCAAGAAGTCAAATATGTGAATAAGTGAGAGAACTTTCCGTGTTTCCCTTCTCTGCAGTAAAGAAAAAGAAGCACTGAAGAGTCACAATTGTGTCTTAATTTATAAATCGGAGACAGAGGGAGACGAAAACCGCACTCCAGACAGAAGCTTAATCGGACTCACCACTAAGATGTTAAAAGTGAAGAGGCTGGAAGAATTCAACACGTGTTACAACAGCAACCAGCTGGAGAAAATGGCCTTTTTTCAGTGCAGGGAAGAGGTGGAGAAAGTGAAGTGTTTTCTGGGAGAAAATTCTGGGGACCAGGATTCAAGATCTGAACAGAATGAGGTAATCATGTGCTTGTTCATTCTACCTTACCTTTTCTTATGTTGTGGAGCGGTTCATCAACCCTTTCCAAATTGAGTAGAATTAAGGAAAGTCTATGAATAGACACCATTCAATTTTGCTTCACTGAGAATTGTGTATATCAACTATGCAATTGCATCTGGTAAATAATTAGGCCTTTGAAACTGCATTTCTGCCTGCAATCTACTTTACATTATGGTTAGTGGCTTCAGACTTATACAGCCAGCTTGCTTGTGGAAATGAAGAAGAGTCCTTTAAAATGCTGGATCTGGGCTTGAAATTCTGAAAAGTGCTGTGAGAGGCACAACTGTTCTGCAAAAGAAGTTTCTCATTTCCTCCAGACCTTGAGTTCCTCACGAGGTAGATGGCAGAGCTGTTGATAGTGAAGTTCAGAGACGGGACAAGAAAGTCGTGCCACAGATGGCACGACTGTGGGGCTGTGTCCTCCTCTGTGCAGAACGAGAGGTCTGAACTCAATGCAGCTGCTTGTTCTTGGGCAAAATATTAATTTAACCGAGGGCTTGCCACATCTGAACTAGTGAGATAACAGCAGTTGTGAAAATTAAGTGTGACCACATCTGTAAAGCACTCAGCCTAGTATCTGTCACTAGAGTAAGCATTTCATATGTGGTAGCAGCAGCATCGATTCCCTCCCCTGCCTTGGCCCAGTCAGTTCCGGCCCATCATCCATTGGCTCCTTGCCCGGTGGGAGCATCAAGCATTTTGCCCATGCTTCATTCCAGCACATGCAGTGGTTTTGAACATGTGAGTCACCTTTCTCTAAACAAGGCTCCTCCAGGTTGGGACCTTGCGTTACATGTTTTCTTAGTTACTTTCCTGGTAATGGGAACGAATAGGCACGAAAAGTGTTTTTGGAACAAACAGATCTATTTAAATGAATTCTGGTTGAGGGCTGGGAACCATTATTTTTGATAATCAGAGCCAGTGATTCTTATCAGGGAGGTTTAGAAAACATCCTTCTTTGCCCAGCTACTTTCTAAAAAATACTATTCAGGTAGGAAGGGCGTTTCTAACAATGCGACAGACAATGAGATAGAAATATTGTATAAGAAAGGTCTAGGAGGCTTTTTATTATAAGTGAATAAGAAATGACAAAATTTGCTGGAGAGAATAAATGAATCAGATTGAAACAGATTTTTTTGAGACCTCTGCTTTCCCCATGAGTTCAATATAGACCAAGAAGAAATATCCACAGGCAAAATTAAGTGGGACATGACTTTCTCATTAGGGTCCTTAGTGATACAAACAAACAGGATACTTTTTTCTGTTTATTAATTTTGGCAGGACAGAGAAGACAAAATATTCTTCTTGGATAACTTTGAAATCATCAACTAACTGTAATAGTTCACATGAATTTTATTATCTTTCAAGTACTGTTTTTCTCCAAATTTTGTGTCCAAATTTTGTGACACAATTTTTAGAAATGGGAAACACTTTCAAGAGTGGGTGCATAGGCTGGGTGCATGGCTCATATTTGTAATCCCAGCACCTTGGGAGGCTGAGGCAGGAGAATCACTGGAGGCCAAGAGTTTGAGACCAGTCCAGGCGACATAGTGAGATCTCTATTTCTACAAAAATAAAAAATACAAATAAAATAGCCAGGCATAGTGGCACGCATCTGTAGTCCCAGCTACTTGGGAGGGTGAGGCAGGAGGATTGCTTGAGTCCAGGAGTTCAAGGCTGCGGTGAGCTATGATCACAGCACTGCACCCCAGCGTGGACAACAGAGCAAGACCCTGTTTCTGAAGATAAAAGAAAGAATGAGATAGTGCTAAGTTGGAATATAAATATATGTAGGGATATTACTTTGGTGATAGCCAGCTGCATCCAGAAGTTGATGATTTGGAAGTTAAATATTTTTAGGATGTTTTTGAGGGAAAAACTGAGACTGTTATCTAACCCCTAGAAACCATCAGAGAATGTCCTTTGTAGTAAGTCTCATATCCCTTCTGTAACTTGGGCCTCCTGGCTTGGGTCCTGCAGTTGACAGCTTGTGGAAGGTGGGAAGGAGTCACTAGGAGCTCCATGTGTCCCATTCAGTTTCTTACTTGCAAATGGTGAAGGGCCTGGAGACGTCTGCAATAAATTTCCCTGTCTCTCTCCATCCATGTGGAGAATGGATGGACGCACGTGTCAGAGGCACAGGGTTCTCCTTTCCGTTGCCTGGAGCCCCAGCCTGCCCAGTTGGTGGGTGCCAGGGCAGCCAGCAGGCTTGGCAGTGAGTGGGTGGAGAAGGACATTCCAGCAGCTCAGATGTCTTCAGGTATGCAGACTGAGCGAGATTAACACGTCTTCATCTTCTGCTGGAGTAGCAATAAATCTTTAAAATGCCACTCTTTTCTCTCCAGGGACTATAAAAAAATGCTTGTCAATTTTCTCCACCTATTCCCTTTCTCTCTCATCCCTCTTCTCTTTGAGAAGATTAGCATGGCTAATCATAGTAGAAACATGTGCTCTGGTGCACTGGATAGAATTGACTCTGAATTTCAGACTTTGGTGACATGGTGACATGAAAGCTTTGTTCTAGAAGCTCACAGTGCAGTTTCTTTAGTGTCTGGAATCACTCTCCGCTCCCAATAGGGGAAGAATTTTACATAAACAACTTATATTTGTTAAAATAGTTTGATAAAACTCTGATTCTGGCCGGGCGCGGTGGCTCCCAGCACTTTGGGAGGCCGAGGTGGGTGGATCACGAGATCAAGAGATCGAGACCATCCTGATCAACATGGTGAAACCCTGTCTCTACTGAAACTACAAAAAATGAGCTGGGCATGGTGACGCTTGCCTGTAATCCCAGCTACTTAGGAGGCTGAGGCAGGAGAATTGCCTAAACCCAGGAGGCGGAGGTTGCGGTGAGCCAAGATCGCACCATCGAACTCCAGCCTGGGTAACGAGCAAAACTCCATCTCAAAAAAAAAAAAAAAAAAACCTCTGATTTTTTGTGTTTTCCTGCTCTTAATCAGATTTTTCTATTTTTTTATTTCCTCCACTGAATTACTTTTTAACGATCTTCTTTCTTTTCCTCTATGTTTTGTTGAGTTTATGAAACACTTCATAGTGTATTTTTCTTTTTTTTACTTAAGTTCTTTTCTTTTTCTTGTTCTTTTAATTTTTCTTTTTTTTTTATTTTTTGAGACAGGGTCTCACTCTGTCACCCAGGCTGGCGTGCAGTGGGGTGCTCTTGGCTCACTGCAGCCTTGACCTCCCTGGCTCAAGTGATCCTCCTGCCTCAGTCTCCGGAGTAGCTGAGACTAGGCAGCCACCACCACCCAAGGCTACTTTTGTATTTTTTTGCAGAGACAGGGTCTCCTTATGCTGCTCAGGCTGGTCTTGAACTCCTGGGCTGAAGTGATCCCCCTGCCTTGGCTTCCCAGAGTGCTGGAATTATAGGCATGAGCTATATGTGTGGCCTGTTTTTCCTACTTTTCTTTTTCTTCTGTTTTCTAGTGACTTTTCTCATTCTATTATTTCCAAAGGCTGTTCAAAGTCACCCAAGTTCTACGTATTGTGTGAAATTCTAAGTTTTCAGCGGATAACCATCTGTCATAATAAACTAGATCTAAATATATGTACATGGTGTGGTGTTGAAATCAAGTAAAGTTTACAAAACCAAATTGGTCTGACTCATATGAGTGATGAGCTCAATGGCTGCTGTGTCTGTACCATTATGTTATAAATGATGAACAGATCTCATCACTGTAATTAGTATTGTTTTTGTACAATCAAATCTAGAGTTTTTTCTTTTGTCAGTTTTCTGTTATCTATATGGTAAGTAGCCGTCCTTTGTATTTCCCTCAGATTTACTTAAATGCTTAATAGGATCTCTCTCTCATATACCCCGCACCCCTCTTCTTGCTTAATGAAACAAAAATGTGCCTGGTAATATTCTCAGCCGACCATTCGGCTCTGTGTGCTTCTCACTGCTTTCCTCCGTGTACCGCCCCATCCCTGCTTATGAGGCCTGGGGTTGTCTGTGCTCACCTCCTCATCCCTTGGCTTTGCCCACCTTCCTGTTCATCCCTAGTTACTCATCCTCCATCCAAAAGGCATGGCCCCAAGTTCAAAAGTATGACACAGGTTGTGAATGCTCACTCTACACAAATATGTCAGCGTGGCCCACCATTCCACATCTGCGGCTAGAGGACCCCTAAGTAAATCGTTTCTGAATTTATCCTAACCCTTGTTGATTTGTATCTAGAAGCCTTCCTTCATAGGGAATAATTCCTTCTTAAAACCTGGCTTAAGTTCTTCCATATCCTAACCAGGGGTATCCCAAAACTGTGGGGGTAGAATCAAGAATATCCCCAGCAGACTCAGGACTCACAGCCCCTGGAGTGTTTAAATGGCCAGGACAAATGCTCCCAAGACCAAGCAAAGCAAAATATTTATTAACAGGATGTGCAGAGGGACAGAGTGGGTTGGAGCAAAGTGTGGATCTCCCTTTTTTCATTGCAGTTGGTGGATTTAACACCAGGTGGAATTTCCTGACCAACTGCTGTGAAATTGTACCATCAGCACCATCCATAGTGACTATAACTTAGATCTCAAAATAACAAGGCTGAGGGCGGAGGTTTTGTGATTTTTAAAGTTGTGTTTCCCTACCCCCATCCCTGTGCTCCTCACCCTGTAAGGCCAGGAGAAATCTCCCTGGCAGTGGCCCAGCCTTGGCAGCCAGCAGATGCCAGATACAGTCGTGCTAATTGTCCTTGAACTGGGAACGAATGCGCATTCATGGTGTAAATTGTTGCCAGCAGTTCTCCCAATGCCCCTACACCTGTTTCAGATCTGTCACACAAGGCCGTCGTATTTTTCCTTTTAAAGAGGCAGATAATTTGCTGATCACGTCACTGGAGACATCATTGCATTGGCAGGACTCTGCAAGAACCTCTGTAATTTGGTGACACCCACTCCTCAGGGCAGAGCAAAGGGTGACACTGCTTGGGAAGTGCTGGTGCTAGATCAGGGCAGGGAAGGAGCATATAAGCCAAGCGACATCCACAGCTGCTCCCAGAGAATGGACTTCACACTCAGAAGAAAAGACATCTGGGTTGTAGGCAGCGTGTGCCTTCTCTCGTCTTCAGTTCTCTGGCGTTTGATCCGGTTCATGATGACCCGGGGAGGCCACTGCCAGGCTCCTGCTCTTGAGGACGTGCAGGTAATAAAATCACTTTTATCTGACAGATTCATTTTGTTTGAATACTTCCAACCTGGGAGTGGTGCTTGCCAAAGAAAATGGAATGCATGCCCTGGCTGAATCTTTGCCCAGGACACTGGCCTTAGGAGCAGTTGGGGTAATAATAGTGGCATGTGGCACATTTCAACCTTTCAAACACTTGCACCAACTTTTGGGGAACCTCATGGGCAGGGATTCCCTGTGCGTATTAAAGTTGGTGACCTGTTTTTGTTTGTGAGGACTTCAAATAATGTCCGTATCTCTTCATTCTCCTATTTCTTATATGAGTTATGAAAAGAAAAGAAAACCTAAGCAAAAGTTCTTTTACTACGAAATAGATTGCAGACACAGCACGTGCAGCCATCATCCCTTCTGAGCACAGCCTTCTCTGCTTCCTTTGTTGAACTGATGCCTGATAATGTGTTTCATGGGACACCATAGCTATTCCAGGAATGGAATTCAGTCAGGAGCATAGTAGAATTCTGGAAGAAAAGAAATAATTCCTATTCTAAGGATTTTAGCCCTTTTCAAGAGAGGGTATTCATATCTGGGAAGATAGCTCTTTCCTCATATTTAGCTACCTTATAATTAGCATATGATAAATTATTTTTAAAACAATATGCAACAGTTTAGAAAGCACTACAGAAAACAGTCTGAATCATTGTTCCTGTCTGAAGGTGGGTTTGTGGCAATGTTTCTCAGTCTTTTTTTTCCGTTATTATGTACCCTCTCCTAGATTTTTTAGGGTTTTTTCCCCCAGTCAACTCTTCCCGTTAAATTTTAATACCACATATATACTGCATACCTATTGATGCATTGTTTGTATATCTGTGCTTTATACATAAAAGGAGTAAGATTTTTTTTTACATGCCTCCAAAAGAACCAATTTTCATTTCTTTGGGGTGCTATTGTCCCCACTGACAATACATGCAGTTAAAACAGCTTCTCTAGGGGAGTTAGACAATCTATCCCTAAACCTGTGTACAAATCCCTCATTTATATCTTATTCAACAAGAAGCCACCAACCCAGCATCTTGTTGGCATTCAGAAGTCAGAGAACTCTAGGAGTTCCTCCATACCCTGAGCCTTTCCAGGGGACCCTTCCACAGCAAATATTTCTGGAGCATCAAGTTCATATTAAGAGGAATTGAATGGGCAAGCCAATCTTGGAATTGTTTGTCAATCATCTGATCTATCTTAGTTGAGGACAAAGTGAAAGAGATGGAAGAAAGATAGGGAGAGTTTTTTTGTTTTTAAAGTAAGAAATCATAAAATATTATAATTCTCTTTAGGTCTGACCTAACATCATGGGTAAGTTTGTATTTTTAGGCAGTCACTGTTACCCGTGTGTGAATATTTTTTGCTGTTTATCATATCTCCTATGGGAGATCCTAGGAGGGATATCTTTCTCCTTGAGAGATACCAGGAGGACTACATTTCTCCTATGGGAAATACTGTGAGGGCTTTCATCTTCCACGTGGAAAAGAATGTTATGAGAATGTAGCCCTTGTAGCATTTCCCAGTGAAAAGGTCAACAAGATATATGAGTTCATTAGGAGTATTGTGGATGTATATTTCAGACTGTTTTTGCAACTTTTTAGCCATAAAGAAAATCTCTCTTATATTAGTATATACAACATGTTCTCATAGCTTTTCTTATTATTAATGAATATTTAGAAATGTGAGCAACACAGGGAGGAAGGCAGCAAAACACACTGCCATGTGTGTACCTATGCAACTATCTTGCAAGTTCTGCACGTGTACCCCAAAACCTAAAATGCAATAAAAAAAGAAGGAAAAAAAAAGAAAAAGAAAAAGAAAGAAAGAAAACAAGAAGAAAAAGAAAAAGAAAAAAAAAAAGAAATGTGAGCAACCTATTGTCTTTGAAATATCTATAAGCACAGCAGTTTTGAGAACTGTCTTTTGTAGAGGTGTCAGTGAATCCTGTTTATTTTTATTTATTTATTTATTTTTACTGCTTCATTTTATTTTATTTTTATTGCATTTTAGGTTTTGGGGTACATGTGAAGAACATGCAGGATTGTTGCATAGGTACACACATGGCAGTGTGATTTGCTGCCTTCCTCCCCTTCACCTATATCTGGCATTTCTCCCCATGCTATCTCTCCCCAACTCCTTACCTGCTGCTGTCCCTCCCCTGTTTCCCCCCAACAAACCCCAGTTTGTGATGCTCCCCTCCCTGTGTCCGTGTGTTGTCATTGTTCAACACCCACGTATAAGTGAGAACATGCGGTGTTTGATTTTCTGTCTTGTGTCAGTTTGCTGAGAATGATGGTTTCCAGGTTCATCCATGTCCCTACAAAGGACACAAACTCATTGTTTTTTATGGCTGCATAGTGTTCCATGGTGTATATGTGCCACATTTTCCCTGACCAGTCTATCATCGATGGGCATTTGGGTTGGTTCCAGGTCTTTGCTATGGTAAACAGTGCTGCAATGAACATTCGTGTTCATGTGTCCTTATAGTAAAAAGATTTATAATCCTTTGGGTATATACCCAGTAATGGGATTGCTGGGTCAAATGGAATTTCTATTTCTAGGTCCTTGAGGACTTTCCACACTGTCTTCCACAATGGTTGAACTAATTTACACTCCCACCAACGGTGTAAAAGTGTTCCTATTTCTCCACAATCTCTCCAGCATCTCTTGTCTCCAGATTTTTAAATGATCGCCATTCTAACTGGCATGAGATGGTATCTCAATGTAGTTTTGATTTGCATTTCTCTAAGGAACAGTGATGATGAGCATTTTTTTCGTATGTTTGTTGGCCTCATGTATGTCTTCTTTTGTAAAGTGTCTGTTCATATCCTTTGCCCACTTTTGAATGGGCTTGTTTGTTTTTTTCTTGTAAATCTGTTTTAGTTCTTTGTAGCTTCTGGATATCAGCCCTCTGTCACATGGGTAGATTGCAAAATTTTTTCCCATTCTGTCGGTTGCCCATTCACTCTAATGATTGTTTCTTTTTCTGTGCAGAAGCTCTGGAGTTTAATTAGGTCTGATTTGTCTATTTTGGCCTTTGTTGCCAATGCTTTTGGTGTTTTAGTCATGAAGTCCTTGCCTATGCCTATGTCCTGAATGGTTTTGCCTAGATTTTCTTCTAGGGTTTTTATGGTGTTAGATTTTATGTTTAAGTCTTTAATCCATCTGGAGTTAATTTTAGTGTAAGGTGTCAGGAAGGGGTCCAGTTTCTGTTTTCTGCACATGACTAGCCAGTTTTCCCAACACCATGTATTAAACAGGGAATCCTTTCCCCTTTGCTTCTTTTTGTCAGGTTTGTCAAAGATCAGATGGTTGTAGATGTGTGGTGTTGCCTCTGAGGCCTCTGTTCTGTTCCATTGGTCTATATCTCTATTTTGGTACCACTACCATGCTGTTTTGATTACTGTTGTCTTGTAGTATAGTTTGAAGTCCAGTAGTGTGATGCCTCCAGCTTTGTTCTTTTTGCTTAGAATTGACTTGGTTATGCAGGCTCTCTTTTGGTTCCATATGAAGTTTAAGGTGTTTTTTTTCCAGTTCTGTGAAGAAGGTCATTGGTAGCTTGATGGGGATAGCATTGAATCTGTAAATTGCTGTGGGCAGTATGGCCATTTTCACAATACTGATTCTTCCTAACCATGAGCACGGAATGCTTCTCCATCTGTTTGTGTCCTCTCTCATTTCTTTGAGCAGTGGTTTGTAGTTTTTATTGAGGAGGTTCTTTACATTCCTTGTTAGTTGTATTCCTAGGTATTTTATTCTCTTTGTAGCAATTTTGAATGGGAGTTCATTCTTGATTGGGCTCTCTTTAAGTCTGTTATTAGTGTATAGGAATGCTTGTGATTTTTGGACATTGATTTTATATCCTGAGACTTTGCTGAAGTTGCTTACCAGTTTCAGGAGTTTTTGGGCTGAAATGATGGGGTCTTCTAGATATGCTATCATGTCGTCTGCAAATAGAGACAATTTGGCTTCCTCCTTTCCTATTTGAATACCCTTTATTTATTTTTCTTGCCTGATTGGTCTGGCTAGAACTTCCAGTACTATATTGAATAGGAGTGGTGAGAGAGGGCATCCTTGTCTAGTGCCAGATTTCAAAGGGAATGCTTCCAGTTTTTGCCCATTCAGTATGGTATTGGCTGTTGGTTTGTCGTAAATAGCTTTTATTATTTTGAGATATGTTCCATCAATACCTAGTTTATTGAGGGTTTTTTTTTTTTAGATGGAGTTTTGCTGTTGTTTCCCAGACTGGAGTGCAATGGCACGATCTCGGCTCACCACAACCTCTGCCTCCTGGGTTCAAGCAATTCTCCTGCCTCAGCCTCCCGAGTAACTGGGACTACAAGCTCACACCACCATGCCCAGCTAATTTTTGTATTTTTAGTAGAGACGGAGTTTCACCTTGTTAACCAGGATGGTCTCTATCTCTTGACCTCATGATCCACCCACCTCGGCCTCCCAAAGTGCTGGGATTATAGGCTTGAGCCACCGCGCCCGGCCTTATTGAGGGTTTTTAGCATAAAGGGCTGTTGAATTTTGTCAAAGGCTTTCTTTTTTTTTTTTTTTTTTCATTTTATTATTTATTTATGAAATGGGTCTCACGATGTTGCCCACACTACAGTACAGTGGCAAGATCTCAGCTCACTATATATCCACCTCCCATGTTTCAGCTATTTTCCTACCTCAGCCTCCTGAGTAGCTAGGATTACAGGCACCTGCCACTGTGTCTGGCTAATTTTTGTATTTTTTTTTAATTGCATTTTAGGTTTTGGGGTACATGTGCAGAACATGCAAGATAGTTGCATAGGTACACACGTGGCAGTGTGATTTGCTGCCTTCCTCCCCTTCACCCTCATCTGGGATTTCTCCCCATGCTATCCCTCCCCAGCTCCCCCCACCGGCTGTATCTCCCCTATTCCCCCCAATAGACCCCAGTGTGTAGTGCTCCCCTCCCTGTGTCCATGTGTTCTCATTGTTCATCACCC